CTCGCGGACCGCCATAACCTTTTATCAGTTATCTAATTAGCCGTTGCATTTAATTAGCGACCCGAGAAGAGGGCCGAGGGAGATAGAGCAGGCAGCGCGCGAGACCGACGTACGGTTCTCTGCACAGTCGTACGTAATTTTAATCGGTGTTCACGTCAGATAACGACGGGTCGACGGATGAGCCGGCATTCGCCGCGTTTGCAATTAGCCGTGTTTTTATTTATTCGAGTATCTGGCTCCTATTGCGCCGCGTACCGACCGCCAGAAAGAGAACCAGACATCAGGAAAGGTTTCTCGAGTACGTGTCTTCTTTGACTTCGAAAGATCCTCTGATTACAGCGTTGTTCGTTTTTTGTTTTCGATTCAAACTTTTTAGAGTTATTACGCAGGTTGTTTGGTAGGATGATGACGATTAATTAAAAGTAAAGATTAATAGTTGGAGAAATTGTTTGAAGTAATTGCACGGGGGTGACTTGTGATAATGAACGAGCGTACTTATGGAAATACGTATATCTACATTGATCGATTTCCTATCTTCTATTTTGATCGATTCTCTAAATAAATCTAATTCTTCCAGTTTTTCTGTTTTCTCATATCTGGAGGAAGTAGAAATTCAACTACTGTATAATATAGATATAACCACAAGATACGGTATTCTACGGAACTTTAGTTGGTGATACGATCCAAAAAGATAGGATAACAATCAAAATTTCCGTCACTGAGTCTCATCTTCGAGGTTTCAATCAAAGAATATTAGAATATTCTCGGGTAGACTGTTCGATTATCAGCAACTTTTATTTCAATTCTTAATTTTTATATAGTTTCAATACCATACTTTATCTCCAAGATTTAGATATACAACATATTTTAACGAATTCACGAAAAAGTTCGCGCATTTCGTTGTTGGCACGAATTACAAAATCCTCTACATCTGCAACCTTGCATGAAATTTCACGGAATGCAAACCTCGCGATGAACCAACTTCGAGAACGCAACCTTTTTCATCGTTATCATTCCAAAGGCATCGTTCGATTTGGTAACGCGAACACGCGTAAAGAATAGAACGATCCATCGCGAATCCAGCACGATGGACGCGATTGTTACTCGTTCGAAGCAAAAAGAAAACGTTTACGTAACGATGGACGACTTACCTTCGCCGGATCCTCGATGAAGCTGCCGATGGTCATCACGTGTAGGGTAACCTCGCGCGTGTTTTCCAACTCCTCGAGAGAAGCGTAGAGACCCTCGCTGACGAAATAGGGCTCGGGGCACGTGAGCCTGTAAACGATCGGCAAATTAGATAATGAACAGGAATGCGTCAAGTTGCATCCGTCGATGGCGAAACCGCTATGGACTAGGCTAAACTCTTCTCTACGTACAACCCCGAACGTATGTACGTACGTTGGATAACGTAATTAGCGTTATATAAGCGGTCGAGCGAGTTTGCTTCTTGCGAGGTTCATTAATGGGACGCTATTGGAATAACGAAATACGTTCTTTATTGTTTCATGTAAAAGTTACTGTTAGAATGACTCGAAGGGATTTGCTGTTATTGTAAAAAATTTGGAAGAGTTATGGAAGTTGTAAACACGAGGAATCTGTCGATAATTTACAGTGGTTAGGTGATAACTAAGAGCGTCGATAATTTACGAGCATATAAATACGGAAATTCCTTACGCGAAATTCTCGAAAAAATAGTCGTAATTGGGAGTAAAAATTTAGAAGCTCTTCTTTGCTTGTAATATTTCAGAATATAAAACCTATATTTTTAACTGTTATTATATAATAGAAAACAGTTGAAATGAAAGTTTTAGTTGAATTTAGTAGTACTTCCAGGTAATGTTATACATTACCTAACGTAGTTAGTGATTTATTCCAACCTTTTAATATTCCAACCTTTTAACGGATTTGTGATAACGGTATATGAATTTTATCCAAATGTACGAATTAATGACGAATTAATAACTAGCAGAAGTATTGGGCTGGCAACTAAGTGATTGCGGATTTTCTCATTAGGTGGTACTGACGAAATCGTCTATCAGATGTTGGACACCAACGACGTACCTGAATGATGTGAAACGAATAACTTTACAAGAAGCGAGGTTGTTGATCTTTCGCTCCTTAGAGGTTCAAATGAGACATTGCGAGTAGAAATAGACGACTTGCAATAGATGCGAAGACAAAAAGAATCAAGCTGGTCGAAACCACATTCTTAACTATAGTTCTTGTAGGTGCCTTCGTTACATAAAAAACCATGCTTCTTGCCCTTTCTTTCGCAAAACCGCAACAACATTCTTGCGAAGGTATATACACGAGAGCATCGATATTATTGCCAAGGAGGAACGCGTGGTATCATTATCGCGAGAAACAAGGAAAAAAGAGAAAGGAAGGTAAAGTGTGGAGCGAAAGGGAGGCAGAGAAGGAAGGACTGCGAGTATCCTCCTCCGTTCAGCTTCGTGCACCAGGAGGTTCCTCGATTACGCGGCCATTCGAAATTTTCGAGGCTCTTCCGACAGCGGCGAGAATCACCCTCGAAATTGATGTTGCCTGGCCACGCGATCTCTCCGAGCTACTCGAGCCTCTGCTCGATATTTCTCGCCTGCTCTATCCCCTTTCCGCCACTCGAACAAGACGCTGCGTGAACATATTTATTACAGCTGCCCGTGACCCCTGCAGCATACTTTATTGGTTATGGCCTCGTAAATAGGATGTTTTGTCGAGATTCATCTCGCGTTATGCTCGTTGTTGCTCGCGATGACTTAATACCGGAAGATTGATTACGTATGGAATGTTAGTGGCGTTGATGGTCGTACAGAAATTTCAACATCATCTGCGGAAATTTTACGATATTCGATGGATATAAAAAATATTCGCGCATTGTTGTATTTATTACAGTATCTGTATATTAATTACTTACATTACATACATACATTAGGCGCTTTTATATCACTACGAATGTTTGATACGGTACAGATGAAATGTACAGAAGCAGATAGAAAGGAAACACTTCGTTGGAAAGCAATGGAACGTGCCAGTATATTTTTTCGTAATTAACCTTCTTGGGGGTAATGGAACATTACATTTAGCAGGAAGATTGAGAGCAATAATGGATTAAGCAAAATTTTTTTTAACGAATTTAGCTGTATGAATCGTTCGTGAGTTTTAGTACGCTAAATGAAAAAATTATTTTGACACGATTATGTTAGAATTTTATTAATAGTTTGATCTTATCTTTTGGTCGCGTTCTCGCAGACCTTCAGAAACGATAAAACGATCATTTAACGATTTGAAATACAGCAGAAGGTAAACGATGAGTAATATAAATGTATCAAACAGAAACGAATTACAGTTAGAAATAATAACAAACGAAAACATAAAACGGAACGTATAGTATCTTTATAGCAGTATCGTTTAAATTATATTATATACGGACTCTTTGTTAAAATAAATTCCATCTCTCATAAAACATACTAATTCTTCGTTAAAAAACTTCCAACTATACAAATAATAATTTTCTCAGAATTAAACAAATTTACACATAAATCAGTATTCAAATTTGTACCGTATTTGTATTTGTGTACCGTAAAGATCAAATCGCATTCACTAACTCCGCTAACTAAATAACCCTTCAAGTATGTTTCTTAATGCGCTCCCATTGGAAAATTTACGGCTATTAACAAACGTTCACAAATCGAACAGCATTAACAAACGAGATAGGGTCGTTAAGTCGTTGGAAATTGACCGCTAAAACGATAAATCAACAAATGTAACGATAATAAACGAAAATGCAGCGCGCACTTTCGCTTGCAGCCTTTTTAAAGCACGATCACCCGTTTTCAATTATCGACTACGGAGTTACGCTTCCAGCAAACAAACGCTCCCGTCTCCTAGGTAGGGGCTTTGGATCCTTTTCAATTAGAAACGGAGTGTGAAAATTAATTACCATCGCCCAAAACCGGTCCAGCCACAAAATGCTCCCACGCGATCTTTACAAGCCGCCGCGGTTCCGTATAATTAACAATTTATACGAAGCAATTCACCGGTGGCCTTTCGCGTGGCCACATAACCAATAGATCTCTTCGATCCTCGAATCGATCAATCGCCCACGTGGCTCTCGGTGAAATCACATTCGTTTTAAATACCTAGACCCATGGACGGTTTACAAATTTTCTTAACGATATCGTATTCTTTTTTCTTTTTCTTTTTTTTTTTCTTAAGATAAATTATTTCTTATGCTAGATAAAATCAGGTTCTGTTGATTTTGATCATTTTCTTTGCAGGACTTTTATTTTATTTTACGTGAGACACGAGTGATTAATACGACATTTAGTTACTTCAATGAGAAGTTAAAATTAGCATGTTTTAATCTTATTCTCGTTTTAGCAAACGAAACGGACTTGTAACGTTTTAAGATGTTTGATAGGAAATCGAGACGAGAGTTCACGCATACCAATAGAAAGTTTCTCGCGATTCGTTTAAGCTTGAGATATTTTTTAACGTTAGAAAGATACAACTCGGTCGAGGTTATTGGAAAAATGTGACAGATTTGACATGTTTTAATAAGATTATTTCCTAAATAGAAAATTGTTATAAGCGTGAAGTTAGAAGTTAATACAGGGAAATAAATTTTAATTGGGTTGACTTGAATCCTCGCAGAAATTATTCTGAAGAGAAATGAAACAACGTAAACGAATGGAGAATTTTTAAATAAAGAAACTACTATACGTACTATATGAATGAATAAATTAACACGTCCTTCTCGTTCAACGAGTTAAGAAAGAAGAAAATGGAGAAGGTAACGATAAGCAACGATAGGCTTCTTTTAATATATCAAGGCTGCTTTTAAAATTTTCTGAAAGTAATTGAAATTACACGAAGAATTATACTAATCGATTGTGGAATTTACACGCGCAAAGTGTTCGAAGATTTAAGAATCAAGAAGCTTAGATATTTAATAATTTAAAATCTCGAAAATATTCGAAAACGTAAAGATTCAAGAATTTAATGGAAGTACCGTATAGAAAAAGTTGCATGAGCAAGGGAGTAATGAGGTTCGAAGAAAAATTTCAGCACATAAGGAAGAATTTGATTAAATGGTATATAATTATTCGGAGGATTCTTGGATCGTTCATTAAATTCAATCTTTCCGCGTAACGACTTCAACGCCTATAATTTTCAATGTTCGTAATTGAAATTCGTCCGGTTATCCTGTTATTCGATCGATTTTATAGCATCGATGAATCTATAATTAAATAACAAGAAAGGTAAAATTGAAATCGAGATTTTTACATGGCCATTAATTAAAAAAGTCGAGAATTAATTATAAGAGGAATATACCGATCGTAAAATGCGTCTGGAGAACGAAACCGAGTGAATAAACATTTTTCGAGGTCTTTGCGATTCTCCAGCACCCTAGTGAAATTAGTTTTATCGATTGAAAATTATCGTCGCATAAACGAATGATAGTTTTCTTTCTTTTTCTCGCCCTTCTCCCTGCCTTTTTGTCTGTTAAAGGACGGCTTATTAGTTAAATGTAATTTCGATTTAAATAAGAATCGCCTCCCACGATGAAACATCTAATAAACACCTCTTAACTCTCAACATATTTCTCAGTCTGCCGTAAACATTTATATTCTGCGAGAGTAATTTACAAACGAGCATCGCGACCGAGGAAAACGCAACGCGAATGCCACTAACGATCGCACCTCGATGGCTCATTAATTTATTCGTTGCGTTTCCATGAATCATCACCTCGCCACCGCGTGTTTGATCATCTCTTAACGAAGACCATTGTGCGACAAGTATTTGTTAAATATTTTTATCTGATAAATTAGTTGACATTTATCCTATAATAAATATGTATAGAATGGATTGTTTCATACTGTTTCATTTTTTAACGAAACGTTTGTTCTGGTAGTTTCTCCTATCATCAACTTCGCTATTGTTAAATTAGATTTCAATTAGACCGCGACAATTTGATTTAGATTTCAGTTAATCTATCAGATCGGTTAATTGCAAGGTATTTAATTTTTATTTTTTTATTTTAATATCTTACGCGATGGATGTCGTAGATACTAGCTATATGGAGTACGTAAAATATACGATATAACGTAAATTAAGGTGAAGAATAGGTACTGCAAAATTCGGTAATTTATAATTCAAATTCTCGAGCGTTATCTGCGATGCAGTAACAGGGTATAATGACAGACAGAGTGTAATTTGAGGATATTCGATCAATGAACAGTATGCGCTTGAATAAAAATCCAATGGAAAGCTCTCTAATCGTAATCTAATAAAAAATAGGATTTTTACGAA